CATAAAATCACCAATTAAATCCTTCAGGCATTTTGTAAATGATGTGCAACCAAAAGCTATACTGTCACAACTAAATGTACAATGATATGCACAAAATACAAAAACATGAATAACAAAGTAGTCCATTTTCTCATTCAATATGAATAGGGTGTATATTTGTAAAATTCATGCAGTCAGATTTACTTCAAAATTTCATTAGCATATTAGTGATGTACTGGAAATATTTCAGGATTAATTTTCCTAAAGACAGCACTTCAAAAAACTGGAATTCAAAGCATACAAGAATCACTGTACACTGGTTTTGTAATCTTCAAGATACATATTCTTTATCTTATATCAGCAAGAATGAAGTGATAATAACAAACAAAAAGCACATCTGGATGCAACTCTTTTTCTAGTTAAGGGATGGATTTCTAGTATCTGGCTTTGAAAACAGACTAGTTTTACAAACCTCACTGTCACAGTGATAATATGTTTTCTGGAATTTCCAAATACATGAGGAACAAAACATTTTCACATTTACAACTATACTCGGCCCTTTAAAGCTGTCTCAGCATTGAGGTAACAATACCTTCCATAACTCACTTACTAGAAAATGTAATACTATAAACTAAATGTGTTCACAAATAAAGCTTACTTAGTCTACTGATTTGCAGGATATTATATCATAGAAATCTATAAAGTTCATCACTGTAATAAAGAAAATGAGGAATAAAGGGTTGTGAAAGACTATCCCCATGTAATAACATTAGAATATTTCTGTCTCTGTGTCTTTCCCTAGATGCACTCCCAGGCTTATTTAATATGTTACATATATTAAACATGAAATTTTGGAAAGATCAGTCATCTTTTTTTCATTCTTTTTTTAGAAAAGAAAGAAAAAAAAAGAAAAAAGAAAAAATATAATCAATGATTCTCATTACAGATATATGTAATACAATTCTTGACTTTAATCTAAGGTCTTTTCAAAGCTCTCTCATCTATACATGTCTAATACAGCAGTTATAAAATAACCATGAAAAAATTAAAATATTACTGCTCTCCCATTAAATAGTAAAAGTCTCTTCTCAATGTTGAAACTTGATGTCCACTATCATTTGATAACTAGACAAATGAAAGTTATTTCCTTGTCTTATGCAGGATACACAGTCTGTGAAGTAAGAAGCAAATATAATATTTCTACCATTTTATACATGTCATATAAACATGAAAGACAAGAGTACTGTGTCCCTAAATTTATAACCTTAATTCTCTTGCCTCTCCAGTGAACTATAGTTATTAAAGGTTCTAAAAGCAAGAGCACATTGACCTTTTTAAAGGCTCCAGTAATTAAAGCTCATATCAAGACTAAGTAAGAAACATTTCACATACAATTTTTTTCATTACTTAAGTTTTTAATGCAATTACTTACAGTGAGATTTCTTTTGCCCTCACTGTTCCTTAAGTGCCATACGTTCTTCAACCCTCAGAGGAAAATTACACTAAAATCATATCAGACACATATCACTTGAAGTATTCTCAAATTTTCTTTGCCAAACACATTCACAATTTATGCATGTATCATAATCTCATATTAGGAAACTTAAAACTTGTCAGACTGGATACAGTTCCATTGGTACAAAAAAAATTATGCCGGAGAATTCTTACTCTCTCCTGTATATTCTACATTTCAGCACCACAGTGTACAGTCTTAATCATATGTGATGCTAAAGTGATGATTGGAGACCAAGGTTACTAATTATGGCTCGGGGAGTGATTACTGATGCTATCTATGGCTCAGGTTTATCTGAAAATGTGTAAAAATATATGATATCTTGTGTCACAGGTTTATACTAAAAAATAAATAACTAAAAAAAAATGGAAAAAAACATGTAATTCCCACAAGAAATGGGAAGTTTATTCTATCGCTTAAAATAATATTCATTTACCTTATCATGAATAAATATTTCAACTGATAAACTGTCAATATTTCTTTCAAAGACAAAAATTATCCATTTATTAACAACTCACCTGTTTACTGAAATCATATGATTAAGTACTGTAATATTTTGACACCAAAAAGAGCCAGGCCTAACACAAGGATGGATAATTTAGCTAGCTTTCTTAATATATTGCCTTTAATCACCTAAAGATCAAACCACTTTGTAAATCAAAATATTTATTATCACATCATTAACTTAAAACAACTATCACGTCTATCAATCTCGGATACTTAGCAGACAAATAAAATAAAATATAAAAAATATATATTCTAAAAAACAAAACTAGAAAATACCTCTGCAACATACAAGTGATCAAAAACATATAATGAAATACAACACAACAAAGTTGAAACTAATAAAAAAAAATATCAGTGTTTTGACAATAAGAGAGTTAAATAAAAAGGAATCAATACACTTACAAGCGATATCTGGAAGAAATGTCAGATTATTTGGGAAACTTTATTACTATTGTTCTTATGTGTAATTTTGAGGGTTGGCGTGGTAGGGGGAGAGATTTGGCTCAAGTTATTTCTCTTGTTCCTTTACCAGGCATGTCGGCATTAACTACATACTAAAGATTTAGGTTAACTACATCAAATATTATATTTTGTCTTTTTAACAATCTAAATACATTGTGTCAATTAAGTACATTCAATATTATCTTTTATCTTTTTAACTATCTAATACCTGGGAACTTCTTAAATGAATCTGCTATATCTAAACAAGAAATTTGCTATTTCCGCAATACAGTCTCTCTTGCTTCAAGCCCAAAATGAACCTACAGTTTTCCTATGCAGCTCAAAGCCTCCTACTTGAGAAACATTGACATATATCATCACAGACATAATTTTCTTTCAATGTTTATGATAAGTGGAAAATGATTACGAACAACAAACATTCTGTTATGAATGCTATTACCATCATAATCAAAACAAATATTGCTAATTGCAGTTATCACTTCTGAACAGCTGTGCCACAAATCATATTCATGCTCTCATTACTTCAATCCAACTGTTTCAAGCATCATCATAATACTGGTGTTTCAAGTTGGCAACATCATTTTTGCCAATATTAGTATCAAAGACAATATGGAAAACTTTTCTCTATTTAGGATAACAAAGGGTTAGTCTTTTGTTGCCATTAACCCCTTGGATCTGGCTGACGTGACCAACACCTCATGAAAAAATCCAGGTCAAAGGGCAGATGACATGAACATGCCATCAAGGGAAAATCTGGCTGCAGGCCGGGTGACACGAACCTGCCATCGTGAGTGTTGCAGCTGAAGGCCAGGCTGATAGAAAAGACTCACCACAAGTGCACTAATGTAATGTCCATGAGCAGTGACTGGAAGAGTGCCAGCTCCATGGAAGCCATTCCACGCTCAGCGTTGTATTCCTGGGACCGTGAGTGGCAGCAAAGGTTGTTTTACAAAAATATTTACATTAATATTACGTATAAAAAAAAAATTTAATGACAAAAGTAACATAGTGTTACTTAGTTTTATTTTTCTTGCACTGAGTTGTAGACTCCCTTGAGAGATGATTGGAGTCTGTGCAAAGAAAAAAAACTATTACTGTCTGGATAAAACAAATATAATGGCAAATAAGGACATTATAAAATTGCCAAAAAGCTAGAAAAAAAAAGTAAATAACTTTGCAAATAAGAGGCATAGAGTCTTGTCACCATGTACACATGTTCGTGCGCCCAGCCTACAGGCAGCCACCAGGCAGAGCAGCCGCTCACGTACGCTTAATGCCCAGATTTTTAGTGATTTGATTGCCGTGACACAACCGGATCCAATGGATTAAGTAGAAATCTTATTGATGACAAATGATATGAGATGATTTAAGGCAACATTTAGTACCCAAGATGATTTAAGGCAACATCAGTAACCAAAAGAGCTCCATCCATAATCAGAAAACTATTTTCTTTAGTAATTAAATCCTGTTTTTTTTTAATTTTGACCCCATCTACTACATCCTTACAGGACTGGTAAAGAATTAGGTAATGAACAAGATACAATATAGATTGTCCTTTGGACCTTGGCTGAGATACTTTCACATGATGGAATATTTCTGGAATGTCTCTTTATAATTGCACATTATTCCATTTTACAGAGCAACTGGAATTTTTTTCTTGAACTCAATGACACCGGGAAAATGCTGCACCCATTTCAGAGTCTTTTATGAAATGTCTCTGCAAATAGATGGCTTTCTGTGTGTGTGTGTGTGTGTGTGTGTGTGTGTGTGTGTGTGTGTGTGTGTGTGTGTGTGTGTGTGTGTGTGTGTGTGTGTGTGTGTGTGTGTGTGTGTGTGTGTGTGTGTGTGTGTGTGTGTGCGTGTAATGTATATGCATATATCTATATATATGTATGAGTATCTATTTATATATACATACATTTATATATACATATACCTAAATATAGACACATATATTCAAATATATATACACATATTTAAATGTATATACATATCTATATACATATGTATACATATGTATACATATCTATATACATATAGATACATATGTATATTCATATACACATATATATACATATGTATACATATGTATACATATGTATACATATGTATACATATGTATACATATGTATACATATGTATACATATGTATACATATGTATACATATGTATACATATGTATACATATGTATACATATGTATACATATGTATACATATGTATACATATGTATACATATGTATACATATGTATACATATGTATACATATGTATACATATGTATACATATGTATACATATGTATACATATGTATACATATGTATACATATGTATACATATGTATACATATGTATACATATGTATACATATGTATACATATGTATACATATGTATACATATGTATACATATGTATACATATGTATACATATGTATACATATGTATACATATGTATACATATGTATACATATGTATACATATGTATACATATGTATACATATGTATACATATGTATACATATGTATACATATGTATACATATGTATACATATGTATACATATGTATACATATGTATACATATGTATACATATGTATACATATGTATACATATGTATACATATGTATACATATGTATACATATGTATACATATGTATACATATGTATACATATGTATACATATGTATACATATGTATACATATGTATACATATGTATACATATGTATACATATGTATACATATGTATACATATGTATACATATGTATACATATGTATACATATGTATACATATGTATACATATGTATACATATGTATACATATGTATACATATGTATACATATGTATACATATGTATACATATGTATACATATGTATACATATGTATACATATGTATACATATGTATACATATGTATACATATGTATACATATGTATACATATGTATACATATGTATACATATGTATACATATGTATACATATGTATACATATGTATACATATGTATACATATGTATACATATGTATACATATGTATACATATGTATACATATGTATACATATGTATACATATGTATACATATGTATACATATGTATACATATGTATACATATGTATACATATGTATACATATGTATACATATGTATACATATGTATACATATGTATACATATGTATACATATGTATACATATGTATACATATGTATACATATGTATACATATGTATACATATGTATACATATGTATACATATGTATACATATGTATACATATGTATACATATGTATACATATGTATACATATGTATACATATGTATACATATGTATACATATGTATACATATGTATACATATGTATACATATGTATACATATGTATACATATGTATACATATGTATACATATGTATACATATGTATACATATGTATACATATGTATACATATGTATACATATGTATACATATGTATACATATGTATACATATGTATACATATGTATACATATGTATACATATGTATACATATGTATACATATGTATACATATGTATACATATGTATACATATGTATACATATGTATACATATGTATACATATGTATACATATGTATACATATGTATACATATGTATACATATGTATACATATGTATACATATGTATACATATGTATACATATGTATACATATGTATACATATGTATACATATGTATACATATGTATACATATGTATACATATGTATACATATGTATACATATGTATACATATGTATACATATGTATACATATGTATACATATGTATACATATGTATACATATGTATACATATGTATACATATGTATACATATGTATACATATGTATACATATGTATACATATGTATACATATGTATACATATGTATACATATGTATACATATGTATACATATGTATACATATGTATACATATGTATACATATGTATACATATGTATACATATGTATACATATGTATACATATGTATACATATGTATACATATGTATACATATGTATACATATGTATACATATGTATACATATGTATACATATGTATACATATGTATACATATGTATACATATGTATACATATGTATACATATGTATACATATGTATACATATGTATACATATGTATACATATGTATACATATGTATACATATGTATACATATGTATACATATGTATACATATGTATACATATGTATACATATGTATACATATGTATACATATGTATACATATGTATACATATGTATACATATGTATACATATGTATACATATGTATACATATGTATACATATGTATACTGATTTTCTAACCTATAGATCACAAGGGGAAATTCCACTATATCTCAGGGAAAATGTATGCAGGTCATTTATGGTACCTATCCATAATGAATTCCCTATATTTTGAGCAACATTGTAAGTACATTTTAAAGACCATTTGTTGGAGAAATGGAAAAGGATTGAGAAAAAAATATTTTAAAAAGTGAATATCAATGAAGAAACAGAATATAAGATGAAAACAGCATATGTCGCATATTGTTAACTGCTTTGTTTAACCCCTTCCCCGTGGGTCACAGGTACAGGCATCATAACATACCACTTGGTCTGCAAGGTACGGCTGTACACGCTGCAACACACCAGAGCGCATGGAGCAGGAAGTTCCGCTACATGTAGCAGACACCCACGCCCAGTGTCTGGATGTTGCCAGAAATCACCAGAGTTTATGATGCTCAGAGATTTCCGATACCCAAAGGTGTTGGGTTAACCTAACTAAAAGCTAAACTAACATAATGCCTATATATTTTTTTTTCTTATACCACTTTTGCAAAAGACAGTAAGATCTAACATGAAAACAGCATATATCACATCTTGTTAATTGCTTGGTTCAACTCAACTAAAAAGGAACCTATTGTAATAACTACAATTTTTTTAATATATTAATTTTGCAAAATGATCATCTGATAAGAGTCAAAGAAATAAAAAATAAAGTGAAGACATTAATATATCACAAATGCTACTAGATGATC